ATTCTAGGTCAGCAGTCATGTGCCTCTCATATGGCCCTACCAACCAATCGGAAAAGGTAGCATGCTCAATCTGGCAGCATCTACACACCCTCTGTCAACGTTCTGAATGTTCCATCCACTTACAGTGGATTCCAGGTCACACTGGACTGGTTCGGAACGAGGAAACTGACAGCATCGCCAAAGAAGCAACAGCGCTTACCCAGATTGACACGCCAATCGATTTCTCGACATCTAAAGCCGTCATCCACCGATCGACCCGCACAAAGTGGAAGAGAGAGGTGAAACCCAAACTGCTGTTTGCCCAGCCGCCATCATACCAGCTTGAGGCCTCGTTCAGACGACAGGACCGCTGGCTTCTCTCCAAAATGAGAACTGGTTGAAAATCGCCCAAGCTGTGGTCATATCTCCACAAAATTGCGCCAGCAGACAACCCAGATCCATCCTGTCGAGCCTGCAAGGAGGAGGACGAAACTATGGACCGTGTGTTCCTGAGATGTCCTGCCAGCTATCGTGCTAGAACCCGTCTGCTGGGACATTTCAGTAACCCACTTTCAGCACTTTTTAAGGACCCCCGGGCAAGTGTTGAGTTCCTGCGTGCTGTCTGCATCGCTGACCGTTTATGAAGCCACAGCGCCAGAAGAGAGAGAGAGAGAGAGTGAGATCGAGACATACATTGTTTTCATTTTTTTTTTCATTCCCCTAATCAGAAAATCCCAGCTCCCGCCTTTACTTTATGTAGATCTAGGCCTAGATGTCAGAGGGTATGTTTCCACATCAGAAGTGTTCCGGAAAAAAATATTTTAAAATGCGTAATTGACTGTCAGAACACAGCTCAAACGCGTGAACACTGATGCTTTTTTAGATTTTCGTCATCATGGGGAACAGTTGTTTCAATTACTGGTATTGGTACGTCGTGTAATAAAATAACTTTGTTTTCTTTTCTTTAACCGTAATCACTTTCAACGAGATGTCGGATCTAACGAGGACAATAAGCCGGTCCAGGCAACCTTGTTGAATGTGACACCCATTGTAAATGTCAGGCATCGTTGTGAAATCAGGCACTCGTCATGGCATTTTTCTGACGTTTGGCAAATTTTTTATAATTTTCTTTTTTGGTTCAACAAATTTTATATCCGTTTAAAAGCACATTTCTGTATGGATTTTACTTAAAGGGGGTCCTACTAATTGCCGTCCGGAGTTCGTCATCTCTTACAGGTGCTGCAGCCTATTATGTGCGAACCACCTACATTCACAAAACCTTCACTGTCTTCAGATCTACCCCTTTTACACCTGGTTGGGGTGAGAAATGGAGGGGGGATGGCAGGTTGGTAGAGAGCACGAAAACAAAGGCAGAGTCTTCAATTTCTAAACTGCGAAACGAAAAATAAGCGATCAGATATTGTTTGTCTGCTTAGTCATACTTCCGGTTCATAACGAATCAGGAGTCCTCTCCAAATTTTGTCCAGTTTTGTGATTTTAGGCCAGTTTTGTTAACAAACAAAAAATTACTTTAAACCATCATAAGGCAAAATGATTTTTTAAAATGTCTTCGGACAGCTCCTGACGGCAATTAGTAAAAGATTAAGGACATAAAAATTGTCAATTTTCAGTTTCAAAGTACTCTCAAGCAATGGAAATAACCAAAATTTGGCGGACATTTTCTCGCTTATTTCACTGCTGAAACCAGGCGACCCTCACCTTCTTCAGTTGCAAATATTTTGACTTCTATTCAGCATAGATGGATATTTTTTTCATCAAAAGCAAGGCAAATGAACAGCCTGTAACATGATACCCATAACCCCATATGCCCTAAAATTGACGAGCGCCTGATTCCACCACATCGTAACGCAAATATTTCTTGACATTTTGAAATTCTCGTTATTTCGGGAAAGGAATTCCGTAATGAGCAGCCGCTAGGCCTATGAATCTCATCTTACAGGCAATTTGTTCTGACGGACCCCGCTTGTTTGAAGACAGAACTATGTTACAGTAGGACCAATGGCGTAGTAATATTCGACTTGTTTTTAACAATTACAATATGGCATACCCCCCTGACCTAAGAAGAATCTGGGGAGTTTTGGGGGAACACTGAAATTTTCCATGCACACTTCCTGGTTGATGTAGGTCGATAGGGCCGTCAGGCTTCCAGTCCAGGGTTGAGAAAATGGACAGGGTCTTGGGATAGGTAGGTCTTAGACTGAAAGTGATACTTTTAATTATCCTCTATTGAATTAAGTGTAATTTTTTATCAGTCTTAACTGTAACGTATGGGTTAGCAGTGCGTCTTTTGCTTTTTAGGCTTACTACAGGTAGTTTCATTTCTTTGTTAAGGTGGTCCTGTGAAATTTCCTATTGACCTGGTTTATTGTTTATTATTAGCATTGAAGATTGGTACATTATTTCTGTCAGTGCATATAAATAGAAATTTGTTGTGTTGTTTCAAAGGAATTGCATTTGCTTTCTTAAGTTTTCCCTGTCTTGGAGTGGCCGAGAACCAGCAAGTATTACAAAAGTTGAAAGAAATATGTCTGTTTTGTAGTTACTGTCTGTGTTATAACAGACCTGCCACTCATCCCGATTTAGTCGGGATATCCCGATTTTTTGCCCGTAATCTCAAGCATCCCGATTTTCCCGATTTCGATCGTGTGTATCCCGATTTTTTTGTCCCAGTCTGCTGTTGTGCCGGGTTTTTCTAAAAACTTACTCTGTCTTCTCTTTTATCGTGGGAAGCACACGTTGAACTTTTTGTCAGTTTGAACTCGGAGCACTATTTCCCGAAATATCGATGCCGCATTTAGAAGTTGACTCGCCCCAAGTTGTGAATGATCTTTGCCCACACTCAGAATTCTCCGATGATAGCCTGGTAACTGTTACAAATTTGGCACATACAAATAATCGATAATATTCGTAGTTCACCGCTTACTTTCAAAACAAGCCTTGTCCGAGGTCTGGTAACTGCGCGTTCACACCAAACACTCGGACTAGCGACTGTCTTTCTAACCCTTACACAACTACATGTAACCGCGCTGACAAGACTAACATACGGCCGTTGTCGTTGCTTTAGTCTGAACGCATATAAGGGATAAGAGATTTGTTGGTACAATTGGTCGGTCGGCCGTCGTCGTTATCCTAGAGTACTAGAAGTAGAACGACTCGCTCATCCGAGTGTTTTGTGTGAACGCGCAATTAGTCGGACCCGTTAGTAAAATTGTTTCAATCGCGCATCTGCGCCACGTGGTATGACATAGCCGTGTGAGTTTTGTGTGTCGGGGACCGTCCGTTGACGGGGTCAACTTAAGTTCATGTATTTCGGGACGTATTGGTGTGTGTATAGACACTTAGACTAGAAGGAGTGCTTGACGTGATGCTTCAGGATTTACAAAAAATAATGATAACTCGCACCCACGCACGCACACACACACG